CCAACCGAATGCCTATTAAACATCTGGATGTAATTTTCTAGTTAGAACAAAATGAAAACATATGCAGGTTCCTTTGATCTGCGTCTTAACAAAAAAATTGTTGATAAAAAAGCATACTGGTCAGTCAATGTGTCATTTTCATACAGTCTGCTCATTTCTCTTCAAATGTTCCCAGTTTAATTTAGTTGGTTTCCTGCAATCTCTAATTTTACCATATTGTGTGAAACCACAAGAGATTCTTTGGATGTGATTTTATTTGAGGTTTTACTGCTGCATGGATCTGCTACTGATTTTTTTCTTCTCTGCTTTCTCCCCTCCACCCCCTTGCCCATCCTGTTCTTTTCTTTGGTAGAAGGGTTGGAAGAAAGGTTAGAAAGCAATTCTAGGAAAACTTTTTCTGGACCCTATATTCACAGGTTTAAGAAACTCCCAGTTTAAAAAAAAAAAAAAGGTCAAATAAAACGTATACACAATAACACAGTTAAAAGGGAGAGAAAATGATAAAACTGATGTTTTAAAAATTGACATAATTATTCTTTATTACAGATTTAAAAGAAGATGCATCATTTCTATGACCAGCTACTGTAATTTTTCCTATTGCTACATATATAGCATCTAGTTTTTGTAATTACTTATGCTATTGGTGAATTGAACATTTGATAATCAACAAATGAATGTAAATATACCCATATATACATTAGTGAGAAAATAAATAATCTAACAATCTTTTTTATTTGCAGAGGATAAAAAAGGAATTTTTTTTTTCAGAGACAACTTTTTCCTATGGAAGCGGAATACTTAGTATTATTTCATGTAAAAACATCATCAACCTATGAATATGTTAAAGGTAAAGATTATGTTTAACAGACTTTAAATAGAAGATCAAAATTATAGATTTCATGAGTAGGACTATTTTCTTTTAAACAGGCTGTAGGCAATCTGCACATATATTATTTATTTAAAACATAAGATTAAAGCTACTTGATTGTTTAAACACCATCATTTGTAATGCAGTTTGATGAGAGTTTTGTAGTATAATTATTACAGCATGACAATCAGAGAGAAAGTATGACCTTGAGAAGGGGCCCAGCCTTCTCCTTCTCTCAAGGAGGATGCATTGCCCTAGAAAGAAGCCATCGAAAACCCACCATCTTTATGCACGCAATTAAAGGCCTTTTGATTTAAAAATCATTTCTCTTTCTTTTTTCCAGTTACTACATTATAAGGAAATCAGGAGGCCTGGTGTTTCAAACTCTACTGATAGGAAAACACTGGTTAAAAGAAAATTTCCAATTTACACTCATGACAAACTGGGAAATACAGTGAGTAGACATGCTTGCTTTGAATAGCTATACTAGAGAACATTTAAAGACACCGTTAGAAATGATTTCGAAGGGAGTGGAAAGAGGGGAGTAGAAGTAGCAACACTTTTGTTCCTGTCTCAAAATATAGAGTTTTAATTTCTCTGTTTAAACTTGATTAACCAGACTGTGTCAGTAAATCAAAGTCAAACTTGGTTAAGTCAGGGAGAAGTTTCAGCAGCCCCAGGAGTTCCAGCACACGCAGGCATATCTGTGACATCCAAGCACTTTCTACAATGTCCTGGAGCTGATCATGGGATGCACTGACCACAGCCGGGCATACATGGCCCAATCACTAGATGATTACAATGCATCTAAGGTTGCCAAAGAACAAACTTAGTTGCCCATGGATCATATGATTTTAAGAAGTCCTGTATGTGGAGCAAGCCTGTCCTGGTGATCACCAAATTTAACCAAGAAAAGGGAGGCAGTGCTTCCTTCCTTCCTATTCTCCATTTTATCAAAATGAATATGACCCCCCTTCCTAATCCTACTTAATAAATTAGTAAGAACACCGCAAAGCCACAATGCCAAACTTGTTTAAGACTTTACCATAGTCTAGTAAAGACAGGCTAAAACTGCTTGTTTAATTTTTTATTTATAATTGATATTTGGGATTGATGCAGTTATAGATAAATCAATATCATACATATTTAAAAACTCCAACAGTAAAATGTATCATCTACAATGATGCTTTTAATATTTCAAGAAAAAAGATCTCTGTAAAAGCAAATTTTCAAATAAAATGTATTTCTGTTTAAATAAGTGCCTTCCCATAAGTTTCTTGAAAGTAGAATAATAGGACCGCGGGGTTATTAATACTAAAAACTTGGTAAGTACATTGCAATGTAAGATAAATGCTTGTCAAAAATGTGTCTTTCTCATGGAAGAATTCACCACCAGTTGGCTAAAACAGCATTATTCACTTACTAATCATGTGGAAATAGCTCCACTGAACTGTTCTTTAAACAAAAGTACAAATGCAGCAATATTGAAGGTTTTCTGCTATGCGGTATATTTAGAGAAACAGGAAAAAAACTCTGGAGATTTATAAAGTACACCCGTTTATTGAAAATCTCAAAATCCCTTTCAAGTCAAGTCCACTTCTTAATAATTTTAGCCACGTTATTTACCCAACGCTTCCCACTTGGCTGCTTACAGGGATCAATCCTGGGGTATCACCTAAACTGTGGGCAGGACTGGTTATTCAGGTCTCAATGCTGGTTTACCCCATTGTCTCCCTTTGTTTCCAGGAATTGGAGACAGACTCGCGGTCGTGTTGCTGAGGCCCCGAAAACTCTCAGCATACCCTTAGCTCCCAACACAGCGAAGTTGGGACTTTTAAGACCAGGACCCTAGATTTCGAGCCGCGGGGCAAAGCATCGCATTTGCGACTGGAACGCGCGTGCCTTACCCTCGTCGCACCTTGGGTACACTGGCCGCCAAACGCAGGCAAACCGACTTTTTTGCAAAGTGGTTGCAAATCCTCCGACAAAAACCAAATCTTATCACCTTGGGTACAAAAGGGGCGTGGGCATTAAAAGCCTAGTCGTACGCGGCTGGTGTACACGTGACAGCCAATACTTTGCCCATTTATGCATTTTCCACCAAGTGCACAGTCCACTTCTTGTGCATCCGCAAAAAGGCAGCTTATGGAAAAACAAACCTCACAGAAATCTGTGAAGATGACCTCACTTTCAAGAGAGTAGCTTCAAACAAGGGGCCAGTACCCCAAAGATGCGCTTGGCTTCAACTAACAAAAAATTACACCCCTCCCCCACCCACCGCCAAGAAATTACGCGGTTAATTCCTGATGTACTTTCACTGAGCTCCCAGGATTTTAATTAAAAGGAAAAGTGAACAAGTGGCAGGATTTTTGCAAACTCGTACCCCCAGCTTCCGCGGCTACACGCTTGAGGATCGGTCCCGCTCGCGCGCGCCCGCGCGCTCCCTCGCAAGCCCCACGTTACTTTGATTGACAGCTCGACTCCGCCGCTCTCCTTCCCACCGACCTTCCCATCCACCGTGCCAATCTCCGCGTCTCGCCGCTTCCCATTGGCTGGCTTCGGCGTCCCGCCGTTCCTCCAGGAACAGTTCCTCAGCGAGCCAGGAGGACGCGGCTGGCTGAGGAGGGTTGGGAGGGATGGGAGGGGAGACTGGGGAGACGGCGGAGATGGAAGCGAGTGGGGTTGAAGAGAAGGGGGAGTGAGGGGGCGGGCGGCCCGTCCACTGGTGCTTCGCCATAGGCTCCCGAGAGGCGTCGCGTCTGCGTCCCACGTTGGGCACGACGCACGCTATTGGCTGAAACTGGACTCCAGCTCCCTCTCCCAACCTTCCTGGTCGCCTCGCCGGCCGGCTGGGTGCTCGCGCCCCCCGCCTGCGAGGGGCTGGGCGGGGCCCGCGCGGGGCTGGGCGGGGCCCGCGCTGGTTAGCTCCGGAGTGTGAAACCGCGTGTTAATGTAACCGGCGCGAGAGACGCGGGCGGCGGCGGCAGCGGTAGGAGCGGCGGCTGCCGGAGCAGCAGCAGCGCCGGCGGGTTCCCGGTTCCCTGTGCCCCGCGCCCCCCAGGCAGCCGACTACACCACCCCCACTCTTTCACGGCCGGGCGGGGCCCGCGCCACCAGCCCGGACCTTCGCCGGCCGGCGGCGACTATACCCTTGCCGGCTGCTGCTGTCGCGACTACTCCGGACTCGCCGGCGGAGTTTGCTGGCCGGGAGGGAAGCGGGCCGGCGGAGCTCACTCCTGCTTTTCTCGCCACCATCTCGTGGATGTCTTACCCCGGGTAGTAAGAGAACTTTGCAGCGGGCTGGAGCGCATTTTCCGGAAAGGCATACGAAGGGAAGGAGAGAGGACCGAGGAAAGGGCTCGGAGGAAGGGTCCGAAGCGGCCGGGCCGGTCGTGCGGAGCGAGTGCTCACCGGGCACCGCGCCCGGATGCGCCCCGGCCTCGAAGAGCAGTGGGCGGCCGCGGGACTGCTCTCCGCAGAGTAGCCCGGTCGGGCCTGGGAGGTTTGTGCAATCGCGGAGAACGTCGAGTGCCGGTCGCACGGGGCGATCGGAGCAGCCCTCAGCACATTCCCCGCCTCGCTGTCATTCAGAACTGCTCGGCCGGGCTTGAGGCTGCGGATTGCCGGGCGCGTAGCTTCCACTACCGCTCTTATCGTTCTCTTTAGTCTCTCGGGCGCTTGCGACCGCCCGTCCGAAGGCTCTGCCCTGACCCAGGGGGGTCGGCTCCGAACGTCACCAGGTTTGTGTGGGGTTAGGAGGAGGCGCGGTACCACCTGCACCTCGCCCGCCGCTGGCGCCGCGGGGAAAACCCGGAGAGGAGGCGGACCGGGATAAGAGCAAAGGAAAGCAGACCGTCTGGATTTGTTTGCCCGGGACGGTTGCCGCGCACTGGGATCGCCTACAGTAGCGGGCCGGAATCACTGCACCCTCCTCTTACCACCCGGGCGGTGGAGGCCCGCGGGTTGGAGAACAGCGCGTCGCCTAGGAGGTTTTTGGTGCAGCCGGGCTTGGGGTGCCCCGTGATGTGGCCCTGAACACGGGATCCCGCACCGGCGGGAGCAGGAACAGCCAGGCGCCGAGTGGCCAGTCTGTCCCTCCGAGCGCGCCTGCGTGCGTGGCCAGTGGGCCCCCAGCGCGTCCCGCCTCTGCCTGGCTTCCCGGCTTAATTTTCCTCTGCGGGATTAAAGTTGGAAATTGAGCGGAGAATTGAGTTACCCGGGAACAGAGCCGCGGCCGCCGCCAGAGCGATGTTCCCGCAGAGCCGGCACCCGGTGAGGCGCGGCTGGCTCGGGGGGCAGGGTGGTGGAGGGAGAGGAGACTTTCTTCGTCGCTGTAGGGAGGCGGGTGGCTGCTACATTCTGGCGGACCCCCCTCTCTGGAAGTGTGAGGTTGGGAGGTCTGAGGCCCAGGCCTCCTGGAGTGGATTGTGGGCTTAAACTCTCAATTTCCCCCTTTTCCTTTGGGCCCCCTCCTACTTGAAGTCTAGACTGGGAGGGCGGGGGCGTCCGTAGAGGCTGGGGTTTCGCTCACGCAGCCACATCCTCCCCCTTCCCCGGGGCGGGTAGAGCACCCCCCCTTTTGTTTCTTGTCTCGCCTATTTGCATGTCAATGAGGTCCCCGTTCCGGCGTGCCTGGAGGTGGCCCCGGCGACTCTGGGAACTGGGAACGTTTGGGAGTTGCTTTTCTCTTCTGGTCCCCAGGGTCATTATCGCCCCCGTGGGGGAGGGGGCGGTGTTATCGTCAATCTGGCCGGGTTCTCAAAGGCCGCCGGGAAGACCCTTTACTAGAGGCTGGAGGCGGCTCAGAGCATCTCTGGAAGCTGGGGGTTGGAGAAGGGTCCATTTTCTACCCCCCTAAGGGAGAGCGCAAACTCGAGTTCAGGACTTCGTTTTCTACCACTTCTAACTTTATTTTCGTTTATGTCCCACCCGCCTCTCTGTCCTCTGACTTACTGGTTTATCCATTCGCCCGCATCCCCGACCCTTGGTCCCCCTCGCCGATCACCCTCAGACGCCGCATCAGGCTGCAGGCCAGCCCTTCAAGTTCACTATTCCGGAGTCCCTGGACCGCATTAAAGAGGAATTCCAGTTCCTGCAGGCTCAGTATCACAGGTGCGTGTCCGGCCGCGCCAAGCGAATGGTCGCCCGGGCAGCCGGGTGCCGCTCGTCTCCCAGTCCCGTGGAAGCGGCGACGACGTCTGTACTTAGTGCAGGCGTCCAGGCGGTGGCGTGTGGAGTCACAGTAAAGACCTGTCATTCACGTTACCCCCCCCCCCCCTTCCTGGCTCTTCCAGGGCAGCCCCTTCTCTTGTCTTCCACTCCCATTGTTTCCCTTTTGCCTGTTTGCTGCTGTTCCAGGGAGTCTATTTTCTCGTATTTAGGAGTTGCATGAGAACCATCAATATTTGCACTTCATTTATTTATTTTGCAACAGGCTGAGCTAAAACCTTGGTTCAGTCGATGACCCAGCCCTGGAGTGCGAGTTCAGAGAGGCAAAGCCAGTGTTGAAATCACTGTTTGCCATGCTAGAGAATTGGGTGGTCTGAGGCAAAGTCCGATATTGAAAGCTAGATGCTTTTAGTTATGCCCAACATTGTTAGCGATGGGGGGGCGGGGAGCAGAGGGCAGAGGAATGGGTGTGGGTAAGGGTAAGCTCCCCTGCTTTAGTGTTAATTCTGAATTGGTTTGGATAGGATGAGGGATTGGAGTCACATTTATACCCATCTCAGCTTCAGTCTTTTTATCTTAATGAGACCTACTTCATAAAATTTGTAAGTGAAAACTGTAAAGCAACCCATTCGTAGTGGATTTCCAGAAATGTGTCTTCTCTTGTTTCTCTGAAGTCTTAACTGATTAGAGCTAAGAAATAACAAATGACAGTTTTTATTTTTGTCACGCTTAAGAAAAAGCACACAGGAGCTTGAGTGTGAATTTTCTTATTTTGTCAGAGGCTTTCTGATGATTGACCTTTTGTCTACTTGAAAATAATAATCTCTAGAGCTTGAGGCATACCTGCCCACACTGTTTACCAAGCAGGGAGGACTTCAACCCACTTTATTGCAGTACCTGCTTGACATATTTTGGCAGGGATTTAAAAACCAAAGGTTTTAAAAGAGACCAACAATTGTAGAAGTAACTTTACAGTTGAGGTTTTCAAACCTCGAGACTGTTTGAGTTGGCAAAGATAGTACAGCCTATGCCTGAGAATAAAGATTGTGCAAAGGCCAGGTTTTGGTGGAGTCCAGAGAAATAAACTTTGATGCAGGGAAGTGGGAGTGAACAGATGACCACCAGGAGGAATCAGTCTTCTGAGTAGATCAGAGGTTTCCACAGATTTTTCCTTGTCATCTGACCAGGTATGCACCAAGAAGAGGAAGGATAGTAGCTGAATGAGTGCTCTGTACATAAATACTCAATTTCTTTCCTCCTTTAAATGCAAGGACAAAGTTTTTGGATGTTTATCTAGATAGTTTATGGCTTTTCCAAATTGGTCTATGTTTTTACTTGAAGTGCAAATATGTGAGGCAGATGTTAAAACAAGTGACATAATGTTTACATTAAGTTGCCTGTTTTGTTTTCGTAGCCTTAAATTGGAATGTGAGAAACTGGCAAGTGAAAAGACAGAAATGCAGAGGCACTATGTGATGGTAGGTATTATTTTCATGTAATATGAGCAAATATGTGTTCTTAGCATTATAAAACATGAGTTAATGAAATGCTTGATTTTTTTTTTACAGTATTATGAAATGTCATATGGATTAAACATAGAAATGCATAAACAGGTAAGCTTTGGTTAAATTGCAAGCTGAAATGACAAATGAGTTGTGATTTTTTAATAATGGCTTTATCCTCTAGTGGGAGGTTTGTATGCCATTTTTCTGCCTTGGTTTCCCTTCCAGCAAACTGGTGGTAGTATTCTGCAGCAAGGGCTGCTTCTCTACAGTTACAGAATGTATAAATGAATGGATGAGAGGAGCTTTGGAAATGTAAACTAGCTTGTTTCTAGGCATTTAGGAATTGAGACTCTTGAGCTTCCTTTCCACCTGGATAGATATATTGTCCTTGAAAGATCTGGATATTCTGTAGAGTTGCTGAAGTTGAGAAGAGCTAATGTCTTTGTTCAGGTTTGAAAGAAGTGTGGACCTGTGAGACACTCCCATCTTTAAATCAGGTTAAACAAGGTATATGACTAACTGGAATTTTCTTTATGCTTTGGGGCTGCATAAAGTGATACTCAGGATTAGTGGCTTATTAGCATACATGTTCTTGAAAAATTTCTCAGTTGGTGCAGGTTTGGAGATGGAAAAAAAGCCTCCTTTTTTGACCACAGCATATGCTGGGAGTTGCTTCAGTCCTGTTGGTTTTAAAAGCATGAAAAGATTAGTGACTGGAAAGCTCTAGCTATGACTATGAGTTTGCAAGTTCCCATAAAATTCACACTTATGGCTACTATAATGGTGTATAAAAAGAGTATTGAGCTGGAACAAGGCACTAAGGACCTCATAAGAGAAGAAAAGCTAAATGATTGCTCAGCCCAAAGGACCCTCGATTGAGTAGTCATTGTCTGCCAAAGAAAGCATTAATGGCAGGGTGTAAGTATTCTGGAGATATGCTGACATTCACTTTTTCATCAAGACGCTGGTACAATAAGTCTTTTAGAAATCGATTGCCTCTTAAAAAATTATCATCAGATGAAGTTGCACAGTTGGACACATTTCAAAGTGCAACAATACAATTCTTACTTGATGTATATGTGCTATTTCATCTCAAACCCTTGTTTCATTAAATTAAAGAGCATGGCTGACCGGCTGGGGCACAGTGGAGAAATTGATTAGTTCAGCCTTCAGATCTTCCTTATATTCAAAGACTTTCATTAAGCAAGTGTGTTTTCAGAGTTGAATCCTGCTTTTGTAACTCTGCACTCTTTGATTTTTAATTCATCATAGGTTTCATAATGTTAAGTTATCATCTTGTACATTAGATCTGTTCTCAAATGTGTTTGGAAAGTGACCGTGAAGTTCAGGGCCTTTCATTGATAATATAATTGGGCCTTTAAAAATGCTGATTTTATTTTGATTTGCAGAGTTGGTAGCCTAGCTTGTGTTGGGTTCGTGCCTTTGTTTTTGTGTGTTTAAATGGCTAGTGCCCGATGGAGGCACTTGTAACTTGTTGATCATAATTGGGCTAGAAGATCTATGATCATTTAAATACATTATGCAAATAAACTTGGTCAAAAAGTTCTAACCTGCCGAACCCTAAAGCCTCCCCCCACCTTTTTTTTTGTTAAGAAATATTCTGGAAGAGTTAGAGGAGACTAAGCTTTTTCTTAAGTTTATAAACTTGAAGGATTTAGTAACCTTACTGACTCTTTTATAAGGGAATGCGACTTTTGTGTGATATATACTGGTGCTGGATTTATTGGGGGAGCTAAGGAAGCATGTAATTCTTTTGGGTTCCTGTAGGGTTACATGGTGGAATGTTCTCTTCTTTATCACATAGAAAGAAAAAAGAAGGAGAGAGGAGAGTCAGGAATCCCCACGGTGTGAAAATAATTTTCTAATGTTTCTGTACTACATCAGGCATTTTTTGGTCACAATTGGCTCAGTAATTTGAAAAATGTGAAAAGCTGAGAGACGCCATATTCTTCATAGCAGGGATTCAGCCCTCGGAAATTTAGTTTATATTGTAAATGCTGACAGACCCTTAACTAGAGTGGTATGCAAAGCATTGCTATAATTCAGTTTAAAGTGGCCTTACATTTGAAAAACATCCTTCTGAATGTCACACATTAATAATAAGTTCTGAGGAGACATTTGGTGCAGCTAGTAATCATAATTCTTATTAAAACTGGTGACGTCTGGCCCCCAGGGTGTAGCCAGGCTCAAATTGATGCTTTTTGCCGCCTGATCACCAGCATGGCCTAAGTGCTCATTATATTGTAGAGAGGGCCTTTGGAGCTCTCATTAGATTTGACAGGAATTCTCTCTAGGGGGAAACTGGGCATTAGCGAGACTCCTGACAGGCTGAAATTAGTCCTGCTTTATGGCTTATAACCAAATGCTAGCAAGGCATCATCAGGGGACATAAAAAAATTGTCATTTCTGACAACATCTTTGTTACTGAAAAAATGCAGTGATGGAGAAACTTTCCTCGGTGAGAGCTTTAATGCTGTTAAGATTTATCTCCAGTGTGACTACTGCTTTCCCTTCCCACCTTTCAGCAAGTTCGTTGGAGTGAGTTTTAGAGATTTCAGTGTCAAGTCTCACCAGACTTTTCTGTCTGGGAAAAAAAAGTGGAAGTGCGTCCAAATCAAGAATGGTATAATTGTGGTTTCCTTACTTGGTTTGGTGCCCACAGTCCCTGTTTATATTGTGTCAACACTTCCTGATAAGCCTTCCCCTTACTTGCTCTGCTCCCATTTGTGGCTGGTTACTGAGAAGTCGATGGCATAGAGATGGTAATGGGATACTTAAGTCTTTTATTATAACATTAAGACAGTGTTTTTTCTCTTGAAACTTTTATAAATTTCTGCCTGTCCATCTCTGTCCGGGTCAGTCTTAAACTCTGGCCATCTCTATGTAAGAGAGGTGGAGACTTCTCATGAAAAACTGAGGCAATTCTGATACCATCAAAGTGTTAGAGTACAATAAAAACCAGCAGGTTAATCTGTGTCTGGTTGTTTTGAGGTTTGTGCCTGTTGTGTTTAACAGTGTGAATTTTAAAGGCCTTTTTTTTTTAAATCTGTCATGTGGCATATTACTTCATTTGATATTTTTGGTAACATTGTGCATGTACTATAGGTATATATAAGCCTTATTTATCTTTTTATAAGCCTCGTGTATCTTTTTAGCAGGCTGATGAAGCCATGCCATCCGGAGTCAGTAGTGGCTTGAATTTTTACAGCACTCACCAGTTTTCAAAGGTGATTTGCCTCATTCTGTGGAGTAGAGTGGGGGTCGGTGTTTTGCTCTACATGTGCCTGCAGCTGTGGGCACATGTTCAGAATCTGGTCATTATCGCGGCCGAGCATCTATTGAAGCTTGAGTTTGGGTCACCTGGTCCTCAATTCAGTGTTTCTTTTCTGAGGATGTAGCCAGTGACAACATCATCCTTGGGCCTCTGTAGTGACCCAAGTTTACGTTGCTGCATGTCTTGCCTGTCCTCGTTCTTTGTTTGTGCTGACCAACTTCACAATTTACAAGAAACACTGGGGTTAGGCATATGTTCTAAAGTTATGAATATTAGCAGTACTGATTGGTCTCTGAGGGCCAACCTGTGGATATGTGGAAAGTTGTAATCAACGTGGCAACACTATCTATAGGTTAAAATAATGTCTAAGAATAAAAGAAAATTAGAAACCTGTGGCTAGGACTCCTGGTAGAGACCTAGTGATGCAGTGAGTTTAATCAGTCTCTGTCTCACTGGGCCTGTATTCTTCTGAAGAGCAGGCAGAATGAGCACATGGGGCTTTCCAGGGCGGTGATGAATTTAAATGCACCAACCGACTCTGGAAGGAAAGCATTCTACAGTCTGGTCATGGGGTGGGAAGAGAGAAAGAGGAAAAACCAGATGAGAGCTTAATGTTTCCAGGCTTCATGCAATATTTCAGCAAGCACAGTGTCTCAGACCAACCATATAAATTTTGGAGTAGAAATGCTTTCACAATTTTGATGTGTGCTTTAAAGTGTCTCAAAAAAAAAGTTGTTCTTTAGTAGTTTATTAAGTGTTTAGGTGGAACTGTTAGGGATTTACCTGTAGGTTAAATCCATAGGTGTGACTGAAGATCTTAGTATTTGTCTGCAAGTTTTACCATTCTACCTGTCTTTTAACCAATTGCGTTCTCTGTCTACAGTGTCTCACTTTGAGATATTCTCCCGCGTGCCCCCCCCCCGCCCCCAAATCGGTGTCCTCCTAATGGAAAATGACTAGCTGGAGTGTAGGCACTTAGAGTTAAGCTCCACCAGGTGTTAATCATGTAATACAAAGAGGGTGGCTGTCATCAGGATTGGAGTGGTCCCCAACTTCATTTTCATTAGCCAGGCCTGCCCTTTACAAGCATAAGTTAAAAGAGATAAAGCTTCCTGTGTATTGAGAGACCAAATTCTGAGCTGCAAGATTAGCCTTTGTTTTTTATTGGCAAGCCTGGTGTGTCCTTACTACTTAACCGGCACCTACCCATCCCCTTCAACAGTTGGGCTAGTTGCTGGTTTCTGTCCAGGGCAGACTAGGGTAAGATGAGTGCGACACTTGCTTTGGGCACAGAATTTAAGGGAGATATTTAAAAACTTAGTAGGATAAAAACTTGGTAAGATTTAAAAAAATACTATTTTTAAAATTCAAAATTGATGCCAAAAACTCCAAGAGGAACAAAGTATTATTTAAAGCCAGGACCTGACAGGGTTGGGAGTAGGATGAAGCGAGGGAGGCAAGTTCTCAGTCAGAGGGCTGAGGAGAGGTGGGCTGGAGGGCCCTTTGGGAGCTGCTGTGATTTTTAGGATCTGCCTTGGTGTAAAATACTTTATTGAGGTCCTTTAATTAGGGGCTTTGTTTAGTGACCGGGCAAGCCATTAACATGTTGCCTGGGCCTTGGTTTTCCTTTCTGAAAAATGAGGGTTTAGACAAGGGAGGTTCTAAAGTTTGGTGCATCTCATGACAGGGGAGTCATACCGCACCCCCCGTGGAACCCAGAACCTCGTGTGTATCCGTTGACGAGAGTCTTTGGCCAGAGGATTTAAGGTGTTCCTCCAAATAGTGTTTATTTAGAAACACAGGGGGAAAAAAA